TATATTGTCCGAGATTTTTAGATCATGCTTCAAAATTATTGACTATTTACATTTTGGCAGACTATAAAGTGTCAATAATTTTGAGAAATTTTTATCACTTGGTTTTAAACTTTAGCTGTTCTCAAACTAAACTTTCCTCGGATACAGAGGCCAGACGTTTAGCCATTTTTGCAAAAGTTTCACAGCACTCGCGGAAAAGGGGTTTGGAAACTAAGCAGGCTCTGAACTCGACATGATTACTTAGTATCTGAAGCAGTCATTGGGTGCGGACACCAAACTGGGGAGCAGTACTCGAGTATCGGACGTACTAGGCTTTTATAAAGTTTAAAAAACAGCTCAGGATTTTTAGGACCCACGGTTCGCCTTATAATCCAAGTACACTGTTTGCCCTATTGGCGCATTTGTTAGCTTGCATACTCCATGACAAGTTCGAAGTAATGTAGATTCCGAGATCTTTAACTCCAGATACAGCTTTCAATTGGTTACCACATAAATAGCCTTGAGGACATGAGAAATCATTCTCTTTAGAAATGCGCATCACTTCGCATTTATCTGTGTTAAACTTCAGCTGCCAGTTATTGATCCAAGATTCCGGGTTACTAAGATCTTTTTGTAATTCTTCGACATCTTCCTTGTATCCCTGAGCATCCTATACACCTTCACATCGTCTGCGAAGATTTTTTTGTTTGACATAATGTTTCTCTAAATATCATTAGTATAAATGAGAAAAAAGTCCGCCCCAGTAGGGTTCCTTGAGGTAAACCAGACGAAACTAAAGTCCAAGATGAGTGATGTCCCCGCAGAACAACGCTTTGGTATCGATTGGTAAGAAATTAAAGCATCTGAGCTAAGACAGGAGTGGGCCTTGGATACCATAAGCGTGTATCTTTGTCAAAAGGCGTTCACGTTTCACTGAGTCAAACGGTTTTGAAAAATCTAAGAGTATAACATTAGTTGACAAGCCTTTGTTTTTCTCACGGGCCAAGTCGTGAAACGAAGATAATAATTGAGAAAGACAAGATTTCCCTTTCAGGAAGCCAAATTGCTCTGGAATAAAGAACTCGTTTGCAATCCAAAAGTGAGCAAGCTGTTGTCTTACTATCACTTCGCACACTTTGCACACCACCGATGTCAGAAAGACTAGACTATAGTTCTTTCGATTGGTTTTAGCGCCTTTCTTATGCAAAGGAGTGATGTCAGCCAATTTCCAATTGTGTGGTAATATGCCCGATGTAAAAGACACATTAGAACCATCACTTAGCAAGGAAGCTGGGGTTCCAGTGCATTTCTTTAAGATCATGGGATCTATACTGTCCGGACTAGGAGATTTACGAGGTTTCAACTCACTTAAAGTCTTGCTAACATCGTTAGGTGAACAGTGTAGAAGACTAAGATCCTTCTCTTTGATAACTTGGTCAAATGATAGAAAGTTTTCAAGGTTTTCGGCTGTAAAAACAGTAGATAAATATTCATTCATGTTCTCAGCAGTTTCACCTTCGTAAGTACATTGCCATTGCCTAGCTTTATAACAATTAGATAATTTGATCCTTTGCGCCTAAACTGCACGTAAATCCAAAAAAAGTTTATTCATTAATGTTGTGCATATCGTTAGCCAATTTATCATGGTACTCTCAGCGTGTCTTGCTGCATTCTTTCTTCAACAAATTACTTGCCTTTTTGTAACTGGACCACGATTTATCATCATTACTGATCTTGGCTTTCTCGTACAACCGTTTCTTTTACCGTACTAGCTTAATTAACTCAGCTGAGATCCAGGGGGACCGGCGATTTTTCCTCTTTTTGTTTTTTGAAATACACTTATTAACAGCGGTAAAAAATAGATCGGTCCACGCACTCCAGACTTCGTTCACATCATTGGAAAGAAAGGTACAATCCCATGGAATGTATTGGAACAATTCATTCAGATGTGACCAGTTAGCCTTGCTGAAGTCGTGCAATTTTCTTTCAGATTATTTGCGATGATAGGGATGAACATTCACATTAAAAGTAATAATATTGTGATCCGAAACTTGTTCACCAACCTCGGTGCCGCAAATCATATCACTATTATTAGTCAGGACGAGATTAAGAATGTTGTTTCCTTATGTAGGTTCTAGGACCATTTGAGTTAGGAAATTCTCCGATAATATCTCCGAAAATGACTCGTAATCAACTGAATTATTTAGCATTAACCTACTGTGCTAGTCCGCGTCCTTGAGGTTAAAATCTCCAACTAGAATTGTTTCTTCTTGCGGTGCTTGAAGCTCCAAGTACTCTTCTTTAGTATTTCTAAACAACCGGTGACGCTTGCCGGAGGTCTATAAAACACACCAACCACGAAAGATTTATTCCTTTGAATGATGTATATCAAGCATCAACTGTCAAATTCTTCAAAGACATCTCGCTGGTTGCAGTTAATCTTACTGCTTACGGCTACTAAAAATCCGCCACCTCTTCGGTTTCCATCTCGCCTATAAATTCGAAAGTATGTTGGGAATAGCTCTGCAGAGTTTACTGATTGATCTAAATGTGTCTCTGTAATGGCGATGATGTCCAAGTTTTTTTAATATACATCGACTTCCAAGGAGGCGGACCTGTTAAACAAGGACCTAACGTTAAAGTAAGCCACTTGTAGTTTATGAGCTGGGCCGGGATTCAACTCTACATCCCCTCCTAGAAGCAGTTAACTTGTTGAGCTTGAGCGAATGCCGTAGTGGTAGCGACGCCATCTTGTGAAATGATTGTGAAGTTGACTATCAAAGCTCACCAAACACCAAATACTTCTTATTACCGGTTCTTCGATTACGGATAAGCTGAAATCTGTGCAAGTGGCATTGGAGTGACTTTTTTTTCACTGGATTCCATTTGTGCTTGAAAATAAGGGCAAAAAGTACCAAGAATTGCAAAGTCCAAAAGCGCGTGGCCATACGGTTTTGACTACCGACCATACTCTTCCGTTGCAGAGGTATAGCTGTTGTCATCCATTGTTATCTACTGAGAAGAGGTAGTGTGGCCAAGTGATTAGGGCACTGGCTAATCGACGACAAAACCATGTGTAAATAGTTGCTTTTCCTTTTGGAGACTCGGCAAACCTCGGTGCGATGCACGGGTGGATAACGTTAGTTAAACGCGCACCTGCAAAGCTATCTATTTGTTACTGGTTACAAACCTTAACTAAACACGAGGATGGAGGGAGGAAGACAGTGAGGGAGGAAGGGATGGGAGGGGCGCGAGACTACGGGTATTTGAGAAAGTCATGCAAACTCGAAAGTCCTCTGAAGTGGACATGTGAAATATTTCGCGGTATTTGTAAGGTCATAAAGCACATATTCAATGGATAAGTTGGACTGCTCGACTGTTATGTGAAAATCTTAGACCTCAGCATAGTTGTATTTCCCTCGTTACGTACTGGTCGACAACATTCTGGGTAAAAAGTAGTCAATAATCAATGTTTCGCAATCTAATAACTTTAACTGATCTTTTTTTTTCGTTTTTCTACAGTTTTTTTCGTTGGAAACGATGCGGCCCTTCCTAACGTGGGTTCTTGTACTTTCATGGAGTACTACTGCAGTGCTCGTAAATGCAGTACTGCCTTTTTTAAAACTTTGCAGAAATACCCAAAGGCAAACTGTGGGCAAGTACATTTAAACAGTGAAGGTTCTTTTAAAAGAACGTCTCAATGGGGTGATGGCTTTCACGGCTAACGATTAAAAGTTTTCGCCAATTAACGGCTGACGGTTAATATCTTTCCAATAAGGTCACCAAAAATATTTTTTTAAAGTTAACGTTTTTTGAAGACTAACGGTTAAAACTTATAAATTTTTTACTCTAAACTACCAATTTTTTTGGTTGTCATTCTTAACTAATGGTATAGACATTTTATGGCCAGGTCGAATTCGTTCTTGTAGTTTATTATTTTCAATTCGCTTAACTCCTCTCCATCCTTCATTAGTCATTCTGATATCGTGTGATTGATTATTGCCTTTTGCTAGTTTTTCTTTTATCTCCAGCTGTTAATACTTCTTTTTTTTTTTAAATTGAGGACAGTCTCTCGCTGCACAAACGCATCGCAATTTGATTCGACTGTTTGACCATGATGGTTTTGTCTTTTTCGTATTTACAGCGCGGAGCTTAGCAATCTGAAGAATTGTATGGTGGACACGTTGAAGGTCTGTTCTGAAGGTGCACTGACCGAAAGCCAGATAAGGGGAATAATTGACAAGAGTGTGAAGGAAGAACAGCAGTGTATGGATGGTTCTATCGAAATTCCCACCATGCCGCCTGCCGTTTCGATTTGTTCATCATCATTTAGCAGCGAAGCAGACACTTGCGTTCGATCCTTTCACCAAAAGTTTGCCAAGGATAAATCAGATCCCACTCTTTGCTCGTAAGTTAAAGAAACATGCATTTTAAATTTCTTAAATAAAGGGGGGAAAGGGGGGAAAGGGGGGTGTGCGCGGACCAAAAGAGCTCGATATTCGTTCTTGCAGCTTTACTATGTATGCGATGATTATATTCGTTAAATGTGACGCCCACCTCACCTTCCTCCTTCCTCCCCCTCTCACAGCGAAAGAAAAATTCCTCTTCAAAACGACAAATCAAGTTTGTCGATTGCGGTGAGATTTAAGTTCGACTTTGTCGATGAAATTTCATCCTCTTTCCCCGCTTCCTTCCTTGACTGAATGTTGTCTCAGGAAAGTTACAAGACCTTAATGCTGCACTTGAAAAGCCAAGAAGCCCGTGGTACCTTAAGTATTGCTTCCCAATCACATCACCCCTTGTAAGAGCCATGAACAATACAAATCGAGAATCCGCCGACAGTTGCAAAACTGCGTAATTCATTTATAAGTCATAAAGTACCCTTTTTAATTTAAATTTTAAAAAATGAGGCCAGAAAATTCTATCGCACTTTGCCTTCTCCATAAAATTTAAATGTTCAAAATACGTCAAGATGCCCACCGCCCTCCCCTCCCCAAAAAAGATTATGCAAATTTAAAGATTTGGGGGAGGCGAAGAGGTCTGAGACCGAGAATGGAGGATCACTCAACTTACAATCGGTCAATTCCACGTTCCACAGTTTTTATCTTCTAAGGAAAAAAAGGATTCATCTATCAGCAAAGCGTTTCACTGGCATTATTTCAGAAAGAGTACGACAGAAAGGACGACAAAGAAAATACTTGAAAACGTTTTATTTACTAATTTAGCTTTGCGAGTGTCACATTGCAAAGGCCTAGTATTGATCTCGACCTGATGTTCGTCACAAAACAGAAAACGTCTGTACATTCTTAAAAAATATCCGAACGGGCCCAAAGTTCCTCAATTTCCTGTGTTAACCATCATGTTTTTCCTTGTAAACACAGAGTGCTTGTCTGCAATAGAGCTATCCAGCGACGATTTCCAGTGAGATTCCGTTGCAAGTTATGACTTCGATTTCGTTTAAGAGAATGTACGGAATGTAGCTCACCCCCACCCCCTCCTGGATCTTTCATTTCTACCCGGAGTAGAACAGGCTCTTTCTCTCTTGAACGAAATCTTTCCTGCCTGTTGAATTCCATACCAAGCCACGTCATAGATTTTTTCACTTATGTGATAACCTTTTTTAGGAGCCTGGGTTTAAAATGCTAATTACTCATTCAACACTCTTGTGATATTAAGAATAATGTGTCCCTCAGGGACACAGCAAAAGTACTCGAACGCTCGAACGGGGCCGAACACTGCCTCTCTTTGCAGGAACCAAATCGTCAAACACTGTGAGACCACTGTACTCTTTCGATTACTATTATTTCCTACCTTTCTCTTTTTATTTTTTAATAACCGTTTTTTAATTGTGTCTTTATCAGAGAAAACGCCGAAGCAAAGAGGTGTGTAAGGAACCTGATCGATTCTGACTGCAACTTTCCCTCCCAGGCCAAGGAAATTATAGACCTAGGTCTCAGTGACTACAATCCTTTCTGCGCAGACAATCGGGACCCTGGTTCGACCGGAAATGATCAGTGCTATGGCGTGCAAGACAAGAGCGGCGACGCATTGAAATATTTCAATGCAGCCGCTGGAATCAAGCCTGGCGTACTGCACACGCTTCTGTTTGTTTTCTTTTTGTCCTTGTTCCTGTTTAAAGCTTAAAACGCCTTAGCCTCGTGTTTAACTTGATTTACAGAATAGTTTCTAGATAAAGTTTAAAACGACATTTGGAACTTAAAGAGACGTGGTTCAGTATTCTTTTTTCGCCAATGTTTTGCTTTTGTGTTTATTTTTGTTTCTTTTCTTTTGTTTTTCAAGAAATAAATTATCACTTATAGTCGGTCTGTTAGCTTAACAAATGTCTAAGATTAAGTGTCTTTAGCTAATTTTTTCTACTTTGAGAACATTGCGCGATGACGGTTTCATAATTAACCCGAGCTTACCCAAGGAGAAAAGTTCATCGTTATATTTTGTAACCGATTTCACGGTTATTCAGACAATGACGCACACTTCCTTTGTATCAACAGTGCCAAAATTTATTTTTAATAGAAATGCGGCGAAAAAAGGTTGACCTCGATCAAAAATGGTTTTTCGGACGTCAAAACAACCCTTGGTCACAAATATCCTTTGACGCCTGGCGATCCCAGAAACCTTTGCTTTGCGCATAACACAAGGATCCAATTACAAGTAACTCAAACTTTTGACTGAACCCGGCGCGTACATAGGGCGGGACTTTCGTTAGACAACAGTCCGAGCGAAGGTCAATTCCATAAAGAACAGGATAAAGATGGTTTTATTTAGCATTTTATTTGCCTTTGATAAGTTAATTCACATTTGGAATCAAATATTCTCAGTGTGTAATTGGTGTCTACAAAANTTTTACTGCGTGAAAGCAAATAGACCATAGTTTTCACTCCAATTTTTCGATTGGGATATTTTTTTTTTTCATTTGTAAATAAGTAATGATGATGTTGACCTTTCATCCGTTCGAATGATTACGATATTTTTGGTGGCTTAGTTTCTAATTTTCTACCGAGTGCCAAGTGTTTTAAGCAGTTATATGCGTGATGTTCGTCGCCCTAGAGCGTAGAGGTTGCATGTTTGGCTGACTCGCTCAGTTACGTCTTTCGTTCACACAGTTGGCAGAGTTCCTATTGTTGATCCACCGCCATCTTAAGATATTACTTTCCTGTTAACATATATTTCAGGCTTTTCTTAGAATAATCTGAAGATAGCAAAATGGAATTATATTTTCCCCCTTTAATTCGCATCTCTCTCAGCGAAGTGTACTAATCACCTCTGCATGACGACTGCAAAAACAAAGAAGGTTTTCCTTTAATAGCTTCCCGGGAAAGAAGCAAAATATACATGTATAATTTTCGTGGCTCTGAAGCGTCGAGGTTGCATGTTTATCTATCTCGCTCAGTTGATTATTTTGTTCACAAAGTTGGTAGTCCAGTTCCTTTCGTTGATCCACCGGCATTTTAAGCTTTCACTTTCTTGCTAACATATTTCTTTAGACCTTTCCTCAAGCACTCAAGAGAGCGCATATTGGAGTACTATTTCTCTCCTTCTCACTTTCGATCAGTGATTTCTGGGAAACGAGTCTTAAAATCGCATTTGTGAACAATACTTTTCCATGTTCTTACTTCACTCTGGGATCCCGTTTGTTTAAATCCAGCGTGGAATTTATGATCTACAAAAAGAGTGTAGTATTGGCCGCTGTCTTGTATTTATAAATTGTAGGTAACATAAACTGAAGTAAATGTTCCTTTTGAAAAGCATAGAATAATTTTTTTTGTCCAAGAATACTTCATAATACTTCAAGGAGAAATTTTTGTTTAACAATGGGTCGTAGCGTGTGCAGTCCTTTCTTAGAATGGGGCACTGTGGCTTCTCTGCTCCAAGAATCCTTTCTTCTCTTTCTACGAATCGCACGATAGCTCTTTGAATGATGACTGCAAAACTGAACAATTAAAGAAACATAACATGCATATTTCCTTTGATAGCTTCCCAGGAAATGAGAATCCACGAAAGAGTGACGTCATCATATTTCAAGGAGAATTTTTCAGTCAATTAAGGATCATCGCGCGTGCAGTGCTCACTTCGAAAGAGGCAAAAAATTCTATCCAATCAACGAGTTAACTGTTGCTTCTCTACAAACGTTTTACCTTTAAGTGACAATAACAAAAAAGATCCTTTTTTCCCCATGAAGAAGGAAAAATGCTCCAAGAGAGATCGAGAAAAACGAGCCACTCTGAGGGGACGAAAATCGAGACAGCATTGTTAATGAACCCTGTCACACTTAGAAAACAAATTGTAGTACTAGCTTTTCGTGATCTAATATTTAGTGAGGATTGAGATTAAGATTTGATAAATTTAAGCCTTCAGATGACGATATTCAGACAGAAAATTATGCACAGCTCAGGGTCTTTTCATAGGGGCGAGAGCACTTTTTTATCGCTGAACTATTGGAGTTCAAAAAGACCAACCTCTAAGGACACAAAAAGATAAAAACGGTGGGGAAAAGCCTTTCCCCGACTGATGATTCTATTTTTACAGTGCCACGACCTAGAGTCATTATTCCTGAAAAGGTCTCTTTTGACTCTTCTGACTGGTGTAAAAAGAGTGTATAAGGATATTCATCTCACGGCTCAATTTCACATGCACTAAATTTGACTCCTACCAATTGCAATCTGGGCGTCAAAGGAAGTGGTTTAATTGAGCTAGACTGAATATCTTCTTACCATAATGATCTTAGACTTGAACTGGAGTTTTCATCTCCCATTTTTTTCATATGAATCTCGCAACACTGCCAAAGTGCTGATAGGAAATTCTCCACAAAGTGCGGTCACTTTTGTGGCTGATCTATATTAAGCCATGCTAGTGACAGACAGTGTTATCTGGGTCCATCTGAGGAAACTCAGTTATGGCTGACAAAGGTTTTGAGGTTTAAGAATAATTGGTGCCAAAGAAAGCGTCCTTAAATGTCCCCAAATTCATGAGATGGAAGGATCAGCTAGATCCAGATAGGCAAATAGCTTCAGTGCGCATTCATAAAGAAAGGGTGGTGGAAAAAGGAAAAAATTCACCCAGTACTGTTAGACATTATTCCTTATCCCATGGCGGAAGGTGTAAATAAAATATTGAAGGTACACTCTGTTTAATCAGATTTTAAAGCCCCCATAGTTTACTTAGTATTTTTTTATACGAGATAAAGGTTAGAAAGACCGGGTAGACTAGATTGTCACCCTTGAATGTCAATGGTTTTTAGTCATTGATCACGTTACTAGATACTTCCTCTGGACAGTTCAGTGAATATTTAACAATTACCAAAGTGGATGTAAATATATTGTTCTTTTACCTACAGCGAGGTGAATAATTATTCAGTATACGCCACACAGAAACCAAAAATTAGTTTATCGCGGTCAATAGATTGAAAACATGTGAGAAATTAAACTGAAAACCGCTATGGCGAGTTGGGCTCCCTCGTTAAATATTATTATTATTATTATTATTATTATTATTATTATTATTATTATTAGCGGTCAGCATGGCACTCGGACATGTTCTTCTTGGCTCTGTAGTTTTATCACTTTTATTGTTTTTATTCGGTC